GGGGCCCAGCTCCCCTTTCCCCCTGCCTGCACGGGTCAGTCCCGAGCGGCACACGGCTCCGCCACTGCTTCTGGCCGGTGCAGACCCAGCCGGACTCCTCCCGTCCCCAGCAGCATGTGGGAATCCGGCTTCAGCTGCATGCTGCTCCGGATGGGACAGACCTGCCTGGGTCAGCACCAGCCAGCAGAGGCGGCGGCAGAGCTGTGTGCTGCTCGGGACTGACCGACACAGGTAGGGGGAAAGTGCAGCTGAGCTCCTGCTGCCCCGGCTGGCCTCATCCTGCGGTGAGCGGCACATGGGTCTCCTCTTCCCACGCGCACTGCGTCGGCAACATCAAGCTGACACGGTATGTGTGGGAGCCTTGTTCCTTCCCAAGCCCTTCAGCACCCATTAGTAAGCTGCTGGGGGAGGGACAAGGGGTGGGAACAAAAGTAAACTGTGTTTACTTTCGTTTCCTGTCGCAGCACCGCGGGCCACAGAAAATGCCGTATGTTGGACAAGCCTGGCATAAAGCAAGGGAAACCCGTATTTCCAATGGAGCAATTTTGAGGAAATCAGATCTATGATCCATCTGTTCCCAGATGCAGGTGCACCATTGTTGACTTCTTAATGTTCCCTATCTTCTGTCCTTCCTTAACATTATGCATCCTACCATTTTGTTTCCTTTTGACCATAGCAGCGTATTGGGAAGAGGTCTCTATTGAGATACCTGCAGAAATTTGTTGGCTGACGTTGTTCTCTTCCAGCTGTTTATGTAATTGTTGAGTGGTGTTGCATCGTTTATCTTGGGAGTATCTCTCTGTCCATCCACAGGAAACTTGTCATCTGCAAATTTCATCTTCTCTTTTCTGCCCAGGTTGTCATCAAGGGCAGCCACTCTAGCTAGAAATGTCACATTTTCCCACAAGCAAGCACAGAAACAACAAAAAGTTTACTTTTCAGTTACTTTTTGCTTACTTTGCTTTGTCAGTATAAGGACCTATCTTCTTTCTGCCCATAATAAAACTCCTGAATCTAGTCTACTCTAATGCTTATATCAGTGCTAGTTCTAATAAAGAAACTACTAATGTATTTAATCCTGTAGACCAAAGAATGGAAAAACTAATGAGAGGAAGGAGTAGGACTGAGACATGAGCTTCTGGAAATTTTTCTCCAAAGTCCCATTTACAAAAGAATTTAGGCTTTTAGGCACCCAAGTCCTATTGAAGGTTAATGGGTCCTGGGTTTCTAAGTGTCCAAATCACTTTTTAAAATGGAACTTAGACTTCTGTCTCATAGGTGTTTATAGAAATTTTACCCTAGATGCATTTTACTTTTTAATTCTGTAAAATGAACACATAATGAGGTATAACAAAACACTGTGCTAAGATTTCTTATGGTTTTCAAACTGTTCAACTTCAGTCTTTTCATCCAATATAGAAATTTTACTGTTAAGTAATTACATGTGTAAAGGATGCTCCTATTTTTTTTCTTCAATCAGAAATCATAGAATGAGAAGATTTAAAGTAGCTTTGTAATATCCATCAACCTGTATACATTTCTTGGAGCAAAGGCATAGATAATCAAAATTTATTTTAGTCTCTTAATGTAACAAGAAATAAGAATAATAATCTACTGTATCATTTGCAGAAGTAAACAGCAGATTTACTTGACATGAGTATATTCTTTCTATTCTGCCTTACAGAACATATTATGCCTTTTAGATTTACAAGGCAACAGTTAATCTTGCCTGCTTATATTACACAGTCCTACAAATGTAATGACCATATTGGCTGCTTACAGATGTTTAAAAAAAAAACAGACAAAAATACACTCTACTGGAAAAAGCAACATATTAGTTCAGCCCTGCTCCACAGCATCTATATAGATCAGGCATTTCAGTGAGGCTTTTTTGCGCTTTATCTAAAGCTAGTTCAAATAATCTATTAGGTAAAAGTGCCAGAAAAGCTTGATTAAGGTGCCCAGTCAATATAGATGTCCAACTAATGCTGTGCCTCTAAAACACCATTGTTTGGTTGGTTTGGGGTTTTTTTAACATCTGTAAGCAGCGGTTAAGGGTTTCTTTTGTTTTCTGTTTCTTTTTTTAGTATACTTAAAATAAGCTACAAGAATAAAATTATACTATGTCAACAGTATAATGCCCTCCATTAATGCTGACTTTCTGAAGGAACATCTTGAGAAGCTGGATACCTTCAAGTCAGCCGGCCCTGACAGTCTTCACCCCAGGGTACTCAAGGAGCTGGCGAGCATCATAGCCCAGCCTCTAGCACGGATCTTTGAAAACTCTTGGCGCTCTGGTGTAGTGCCCGAAGACTGGAAGAAGGCCAATGTGGTGCCTATCTTCAAGAAAGGGAGGAAAGTGGATCCAGCTAACTATAGGCCCATCAGCCGACTTATATCCCGGGGAAGATCTTAGAAAAGTTTATTAAAGAGGCCATCCTTAATGGACTGGCCAACGCCAACATCTTAAGGGATAGCCAGCATGGGTTTGTCACGGGTAGATCTTGCTTGACCAATATCATTTCTTTCTACGACCAGGTGACCTATCACCTGGACAAGGGAGAAGAGATTGATGTCATATATCTTGACTTCAAAAAAGCCTTCGATCTGGTGACCCATGATTGCCTCTTGGAGAAACTGGCCAATTGTCGCCTTGGGTCCTCCACGATCCACTGGCTGGAAAATTGGCTCCGGGGTCGGACCCAGAGGGTAGTAATCGATGGAAGTCACTCATCGTGGTGTCCTGTGACCAGTGGGGTCCCCCAAGGCTCTGTCCTTGGACCCATACTGTTCAACATCTTCATTAATGATGTGGACACTGGAGTCAGAAGCGATCGAGCATCATAGCCCAGCTATGTTGGCTAGCACTATGGAAGAAAGAGACTTGGGGGTCATCATTGACCACGAGATGAACATGAGCCTGCAATGCGATGCGGCGGCTAGTAAAGCGACCAAAACGCTGGCTTGCATCCATAGATGCTTCTCAAGCAAATCCCGGGACGTCATTCTCCCCCTGTACTCGGCCTTAGTGAGGCCGCAGCTGGAGTACTGCGTCCAGTTTTGGGCTCCACAATTCAAAAAGGATGTGGAGAAGCTTGAGAGAGTCCAGAGAAGAGCCACGCGCATGATCGGAGGTCAGGGAAGCAGACCCTACGATGACAGGCTGAGAGCCCTGGGGCTCTTTAGCCTGAAAAAGCGCAGGCTCAGGGGTGATCTGATGGCCACCTACAAGTTTATCAGGGGTGACCACCAGCATCTGGGGGAACGTTTGTTCACCAGGGTGCCCCAAGGGATGACGAGGTCGAATGGTCACAAACTACTTCAAGATCGTTTCAGGCTGGACATAAGGAAGAATTTCTTTACAGTCCGAGCCCCCAAGGTCTGGAACAGCCTGCCACCGGAGGTGGTTCAAGTGTCTTCATTGAACGCCTTCAAGATGAAACTGGATGCTTATCTTGCTGGGATCCTATGACCCCAGCTGACTTCCTGCCCTTTGGGCGGGGGGCTGGACTCGATGATCTTCCGAGGTCCCTTCCAGCCCTGATGTCTATGGAAAAAACAGATAGTCAAGCTGTAGATCAACTAAAACTACTATTTTGGTAACATTTCTAACACTGCCAATGTTAAAAGCTCTTGCAGCTGATACATGCACATAGAAGTAAAGTTGATCTGCCTTCAGAATGTAGGTCCTACATTAAAATACTTAATTGCAATATGTAAAGATTCAGTTTTACTCTTCTATTTGTGCAGTGTATTTGCATTTCAGTGCCAATAAAGTATACATTTAAATACTGCTGTTTATAAAGTAAACTTCCTGTGGGGTTAAAACAGGATAACAATTTAGTTTAATTTTAAGTATTTATTCTTTATGAGGTATTTTAATTAATAAAAATTGCCTAGTATTCTGTAAAATCACATTACCAGATATCAGAACATTTAGAATACATATATGATAATACTTTAGCTATATTTTATAATTTTATAGCTATAATAACTTGTGTTTTGCTATTAACATTTTTTGAATGAGTTAAAGAATGAGTCATTGTATTTCATTGTTTTGACTCCAGTTAGTTTGGTTTTTTTTTAAACTGCAGTATTTTCCAACAGTACTATTTATATATTTTTCTGTCCAATAAATCAGTGAAAGGAAATCTGTTCCTTTTTAGGTATGCACATAGGTATATACATCTGAAGGTTTACAACACGTATTGCTCTTTGGCATTCTTTGTACTAGACTTTTCAAATATCCAGCGGTTTACAAACTCAAAAAAAATACTGAAAAACAGGGGAGGGGGGAGTAAATGTTAAAGCCCTTTAAAAAAAAAAAAAAAAGCACACTATATTAAGTTATTTCATTAGTCTTCAGTTTTAAGACTCTCAAAGATGCTGTATATCCTGTGGTATTTCAAATGTGTCAAATAGCATGCACAGACATCTTCTGTTCAGAAACCAGAAATTAGCCTCCTCCTAAGATTAGAATCAGTTTGGCCATAGTGTAAACGGCATAATTCTAAAATAGTTCTAAGATGCTTCTGGCTGCCTGCCAGCCCCATCGAACCATTCTTGTGGTCATAATAAACTGGCATGCAACAGGTTTCTTGTTGTTATACTTCTTATACAAACTCCCAGGATGTCACCTACAGTACAGACTGCAAGACTTTTTCACCTATACTGCTTCTGAAGTATTGAAGATGTGAGGGGAAAGCCACTCCTGAAAAGACCAGCTTTTCAAGTTGCTTTTGAGCTTCTGGAATGATGTAAATTAGCTAAAGGGGCCTCATATCTTAAGGAAAACTTGCCAAGCTTCATATTATGTCAGATTTACTGAAAGACAGCAGAAGTACATCCATATACTTCCAAGTAAAACACATTCTGACTTATGACCTAGAGCCTTCATACAGTCCTCTTATCATGATTCTTCAGATTTAAGAGGGTTATACGAGGACTTGGATAGAAACATATTTAAGGCATGCCAAGCTGTTATCAGTAACAGTATTAATGAATCATTAGTGTGGCATTCTTTTGTTTAGTTGGAAACATTTAATGCTTCATAGGTTCATCGGGCTGGAAGGGAACTCATGAGGTTATCTAGTCCAGCCCCTTGCTCAAGGCAGGAATACCCCTCACTAAACTATCCCAGCCTAGTGTCTGTTCAACCTACTCTTCAAAATTTCCAGGGATTGCAATTCTACAGCAGGTGTGGGCAAAATATGGCCCACAGGCTGGATCTGCCATCCAGGACAGTCTTTAGGGACCCCATGGGCCAGACAAAATTTAGAAAATTAATATTTATCTGCTCCTGGCTGCCTGTCAAAGATGACAGGAGTCAGGGGCAGTAGGATCCAGGGGGAGCTGGCAGTAGGACCCAGCATCCCAGCCTCGCCCCACCCCCAGCCATTTCCCTGCTTTCCTGCCAGCGCATTACTGTGGCACCACATAGCTCCCAACTGCATCGTCGAACAGTGGGAACACGGGGCCCATGCCAGTACCCCATGGCCAGGAGCAGGAGGTTGGGGGTGGGTGGGTGTGTGTGTGCGCACACTCATGCACAGGGAGGGAGGGACAGTGTGTGTTCGTAGGGTGAGTCCCACTTGCACACCCACCATACCCATGCATCTACATGTAAATCAGGACAAAAATATTTTTTGAAATCAAATTATTGAATGTTGTAGATGTTCACTTTTTAGAATATAATTTTGTATTTTTCTGGTTCCGAGATGGCCCTTGCTGAAAGGAGTACTTCTGGGGGCAAGGGGAGGGACTTCTGGTGGCAAAGGACAGGGGTTAGGGGGTAGGGCTTCCAGTCACAAGATGGCAACCAAGAGACAGGGCACCTGTCAAGGGGTGGAGCTACCCATGCGGCCCTCGACAGCTTGCCAAAACTCGATAAGCAGCGCTCCGCCTGAAATAATTGCCCGCCTCTGTTCTACAACTTCCCTAGGTAGCCTGTTCCAGTGCTTGACCAGTTAGTTCTTCCTATCACCAACCTAAAATTCCTTTGCTGCAGTTTGAGGCCATTGCCCTAAGTTCTGTCCCTTGAGACCACAGATAATGGTATATCTCCTTCCTCTCTATAATAGGCCCCTAGTCACCTCTTCTCCAGGCTTAGTAATTCTAGTTCCTTCAACCTTTTACCATAAGTTATATTTTCCAGGTGTCTAATCATTTTTGTTCTGCTGGACTCTTTCCAATCCGCCCACATCCTTCTTGAAGCGTAGGACCCAAAGCTGGATGTAGTACTCCAGATAAGGCCTTAGCATAGAGTGGAAGAATTGCTTCCCTTGTTTTGTAAGTGACACTCCTGTTAATACAGCCCTGTATGCTGCTTGCTTTTTGTAACAAGAGCACACAGTTGGCTCATATTCAGCTTCTGGTCTATTGTTAACCCCCAGGTTGTTTTCCGTAGTACTGCAACCTAGCTAATGTAATTTTTCCATCCCAAGTGCAGGACTGTGCACTTTGTCCTTGTTGAATCTCATCTGGTTGATTTCAGACCATTTCCCCAGTTTGAGGTAATTCTGTATCCTAGACCTACCCTTCAGAGTGTCTGAGACTCTGCCCAACTTGGTGTCATCTCCAAATTTCCTAAGCATGGGCTTAGTCCAATTGTCCAAAATAACGAAGATGTAAAACAATACTGGATCCAGTACAGACCCCTAGGGAACACCACTTCCCTCTTCCTAGGTAGAACATTGAGCTGTTGATGATTGATTACTCACTGAGCATGATGTTTCAACCAGTTATGTATCCACATTTACAGTGCTTTCATCTGGTCTCTTTTTTAGCTTACTAATTAAAATGGCATGGAAAACAATGTCAAAGCTTTGCTAAAAAACAAGGTGCATCATTTCAAAGACTGTATATCTTTTTGTAAAGGGAAACCCTAATGACTTGACTCCCTATCAGCTGCTGGAATAGTTTAATTATGACAACTCTTTCTGCCTTAGAGAATTTACTCTGTATTTCCTTTGTAGTTTCAGATAGAGTATTTAATTTGAATTTGAATTTTCAGTGTATTCTACTGCTATGTTGTTGTTAGGTCCTGAACCTCTAAATGCTGAATGTCCTCAAATCTCATTTGCTTAAGCAAGAATCAAGGGTTCTTAACTGCTCATAAGAGGGGACTCAAGCACTGGATGCAGGAAGAATATACATTTTAAGGTCTAACAGCTATTCCTGAATAACTATCTATACAAATCAGATTCTTTGTTCCATCAGAGACAGGTGAAGTAATTCCGGTATATTAGCTATTACCCTCATAGGAATGTTTAAGGTCTTTATATTCCTTGATGACAAGTACTCTGAAATGGCTGTTAAGTCATGATCTCTGTTTCGTAGCATAAAGTACTTTAAACAAATAAAGCATACCTGCTTACCTCAGACTTTTTTTCTTTGCTTTTACAGTGGATTCCAGTGTTGCAGAACTTTCAAAATAAAGACACACTCTGGGGCTTTGTACCTTATAAAAATGATCCATCTGCAAGTGAACTTTCAGTTCCAATTACGCTTCACATTGGAGATTACAACATGGATGGCTACCCAGATGCTCTTGCCATATTAAGAAATACATCTGGAAGGTATCATTTTTACTTTCGGATTTACATATTATACTAAAGCTTATGTCCCAACATTAGTCTTGTCTATTTTAAAAATCAGACCACAGATTTATGATACATCTAATATTGTTTTGATATAGTGAATGTCTCCATCAACTTTATAAAATGAATAATTTTTTTAGGTTTGCTAAATATTTCCTCTTTAAAAGGTTTAAATTTTGCATAAACTTAAGCTACATAGGTCTGTATTGTGTGTTGCTTGTAATGAGCCTCAAGGGTGTGCATAAGCTTGGGCTAAGCTAAATTCCTTAATAAAAGGGAAGAGAGTCACCAACTCGCTAGAGCTACTCTTTTCCCTATCCTGTGGAATAGGTGAGTAGGATGGGCTAAGGAGTATATGGTGCATTATCTCCTCTTCAAGAGCTAGCTAGTATACCAGCATCAAAACTGTGGAGTTTTTATTTATTTTAAAAGTATTTATACCTTATGCAGGCCTGCTGGAGGGGGTGCTACAGAGATTAGGAACAAGTGATATGTGACTCCAGCCAGTCTGGTTCCCAGTTCCGCTAGAAAAAAATATAATTAAGCACTGTTCCTTTGGAGAAGCAGTTGACTCAATAGCATCTATTATGTTGACAGTAATTTCGTATGGCTTATGCTTAATTAAAGGCAATAGATGTTCTTTGAGATAAACGCAGAACAACTAGTTTTCATGAGGGACAACAAATGTTCATAGAGGCATTGAGGAAATTTGGGGAATGTAAATTGATTGTGAATATCTTCAGCCTTTCTTTGACCTGAAATCTCTTACAGACAATAAGCTCTCTTTGGTATGTACATCACCTTCCAAATTTTCCTTTGAGCACCTGAACAAACAGGGAACTAAAATGTGGTGTTTGCAAAAAGTTCTGGTCTCAAGTGTACAAGACCCAGTTTTTCTACTTCATTATGTTGGTGCAAGGGGTTGATGTATATGTTCCGTATATTCAGTCCACCACCGAAAAACTGATTTCCCTTCCTTCCATTTCACCTTTCTTTTCGAAGCAGTTTTTCCTTTCCCAGATTATTTTTTTCCTTATGCTTGTTTACCATTTGCTTATATTACCACATTTTTAGCCCTTTTCCTTCTGTGTTCTTTAGTCACTCTTCACTTTTCGGTTTCTTTTTTCTTCTCATTAATTTGCTTTACCCCTGCAAACCCTTTTCCCCATTTGCCTTTCACTTGTGGAGGGCCAACAAGTTACTCTTGGCCTTAGGGATGTGACAAAACAAGACAGGTTTGCTTGCTCTTCTCCTGATCCTTGTTGTCTATGAGAAGTCTGGTGTTTATAGCAAAATAGCTTTGCGATTAATAAAAAAATAAATTACTATTTATATATTCATCTGTATTTTCATCCAGTTTCCTGACAAAGGAAAACTGCACAGTCTTTTTTCAATACTTAAGTTATTGTGTAGATCAACTAAACTATCCCTGAAGGTCTTGGAGCCTGCTGCATAGTTGCTGTTTCAGTCTATGCTAACCAATGGCCTCTTCTCTCTCTGCTTGGAATTCTAGGTTTTGAACTGGCCTCGAGGTTGGAAAAATCCTTTTGGTTCTGTTTAGATTTTCTTGTTGTCTTCCCTTTACTTCCCTCCCCACCCCCTTTTATTTGGACAGCTTTTAGTGGCAAATTGACAGGCCCCTTTACCTCTCCGGGCAATTAGTGATTGGGTACTCCTGAGGTCGCTCTTTCCCATTTAGCAGTTGTTGACCTGCCTTACATTAATGAAAAACTTATAAATAAATTTTTACAGTTTCTGCCCACTTTTCCAATCAGTATCTCCAATGGTTGATTGTTAAGGCAAGCCATTTTCAGTCATAAGCAGCATATAAGGGAATGTTATGGCTAGCATCACATCTAGAGTCACCAGCTCAAATGGCTAGGTATCATTGTACTGCAGAGGCTGCTTAGGAGGGTCTTCATGTGAGCCCATACCAAGGCTATAAATCACAATTCTGGACCCACAGTAAGAGATCTTTACTGCTCTGCTCCCTAGCCCTGCTAGCATATAATGTGTAGTGTCCCAAATAGCTAAATTCAATGCATTTTGAGAGTCTTCCATCAACTGAAGAAACTTGAGCTAACATTCAGTATTTTAGTACATCTATCCAGTCACATTTTCTTATATAATTATTGTACTTCTTACAGTCTTCTGGATTTAAATAGTAAGTTTTATACAGGCATCTAATTTCTGTATCATCACATGCAATCAATAACATGGAACAAGTAGAGAGAATGAATTCTTTGCACATTATTGGGAAATTTTTGCAGCATACAGTATATTCAAGGTACTCAGCCAGAAAGAGAGAATGAATGCAGCACTGCACTCAAGGCAGTCTAATCTCCATTATGTTCTATAATCTATCCCTTCTTCAAGCAGTTAAAAACAAAAAAACCCAAACATCTTTCCTTTCTTAATTCTTTCTCAAACCATGTAGTATCATTGCCTTCTGCACTATCTCTGTAACATCACAAGCTGTCTTCTGTTCAGTTTTGTGTTGTCACACTATTAGAAAATAAAAAGCATCTCAAAACTCTGTAATATTTTCAGAGTCCCTATAATTTCCATGAGTTCCATATAGATTACTGAGATGGTCACTAACTATCTGCTAAACAGGATTCTAAAATGGATGTACTGATTCAGGAGGCTAATCTAACATATAAGTCTGTATTAAATATCATGGTAGTTTGCAGTAAGGTCTGGGAGGATGCTAGTATTGGCATATAGGCAAAATCTGCCCATATTTCTAACTACTAAATTTGAAAATAGCATTCCTCTGTTTATTTTAGTGGTACCTACACTGAATAATATTGTAGATGGAGTTTGAAGTGATGCTTGTCTAGCACTTTTCATTATAAAATCTTGTTTACAATTATGTATAGCTTCTAAGATTCATTAATTTAAGCTGGATATTTTGCTTGTCAGATGTCTACCTTATGATGACTCTGAAAGTTTCATCCTAAATGGCTTAACCATTTCTGGGAACAATGTTAATGAAAAATATATTTTTGTCCATGTTTAAAATCTTTCCAAGCATTTTAATAAGAAGTTTCTTGCTTTGTAATGATGTTTCATTTGATAATACTATGGTATTAGAGATATACCTTTTGCCATTCTAAAAAAATCTACTCACATTTGGATAAGTTATTTGGGTCATATATAGTAGCACAAGGGAAGATGGACAGGAGCCTTTGGGTGGGAGGTGGCTATGCATAGGCGTAGCAGTTTTGTTAGTTCTGTGGTAATGGTTTTGTTAGTTATACTGAGATGGAGAAGAACGAATAGGAAAAGGTAGAAGAGGAAGAAGTCAGTTATCCATCCTTCTAGTCAAGATCAGGCTGAATTTTGTTGACATCATGGTAGAGGGCATTTTGAAGCAGAGATTTGAAGACAGAACAGATGAGTAGCTTCTGAATATTGTCATGGATTTTTTTCCAAGAAGTTAGGAGAAGAAGGAGGGATTTGTCGTGTACTAAAGCAATCCATGTTTTTGCCAGTATTTATTCAAGATCAGGCTTAATCACAGGTAACTGATGAAGTTGCCTGATTGACAATCTCTTTTAGTTTTCTTTTGCTGGACAGTACATGCTTACATCTATTTATATTATCACAAGGGCCAGTGTATGCATTCTCCACATCTTAAAAGATTAGATATTTGCCAACATTATTGTCATTTAGTTAAGTCAGTTTCCACGCTCATGACTTGGATTATGTCATAGCACATCTGGACTTTAGAAACACTCAGTTTCTCAGAAAAATGCTTTATAGTGGTCAACCCAACTCAGTATATCATTGAAAAACAGAATCTAGTGAATTGTGGTCACAAGACATACTTCAGCTATTCAGGGGTTCAGCAAGTAGTACTGCATCATCTACATTATGATAACCAGTCAACCTGGTTATTACTTGTGCTACAGAATAGGTTAAATGAATGGAAGGAACCCAGGTTGTATTAGTTGATCAAAAAATGGCATAATTAAAAATGCACTTAAGTCTGTTCTATGCCAAACTGGATCTGTGATCATGACTTTGAGTTTACTGACAGGTTGACTGATGGTCCTCTAAGGTTAGTTATTTTATACCTTGCCCCTTGCCTTAATGTCTGAACATTTAGTGTCCTCTTGATACTTACATTGTTATATTTATCTCATAATGTCCATTATCTGCAAACAGGTCATATTTTAAAAGAAGGCAGGGTAGATTTGTACCTTTATAGACTAAAGTGTGCAGGTATATGTAATATATAGCACAAACTTTCATGAGCTAAACTTCATTTTATCTGATACTGTGAAAGAATGTGAACAAAGCTATGTATAAGGAAAGAGAAATTTCTGATGCAACCCTGCATATTTAACATTGCTCTTTACATCTTTACATTACATTACACTTTAATAGAAGCTCTTAGCAGCCAAACCAATTTATATTTGCAATTTACTGTAGTCTTTTAAGTCTTTAATATCTTGGAGACAGTAATTATAATTTGTCATTTTTTGAAGTTACTATCAAGAATGAAGTTTTGCCATCCAGTAGTTTCTTGTGAAAAATAATTACTGACTCCTACTGTCATCAACAATTTATAATAAGTGTAATAGTCATTATTGTATATGGACCATTCTACATTGCAGCTCTGAACACAACTTTATTATATGTTAACTGTTTGAAATGGTTTTCAAGACTCATATTCATTATTCAGGTGTACATTTAATGGCATTGTAGTTTATGTATACCTAGTTAATCATTCTTTCCTCGGAAGATGTATTTTGCATATAAAAGATACTAGTCCTATGAGTTTCCTGAAGCACAAGTAGTATATTACTGCAGAATATGAACATTTCAGTGTTGCAGAGGCCAAAACTTTTTTTTAAGAAAGATCAGATATGAGTGATCCTATATTCCCTCCTAATGATTTCTCTCACTATGTTAGGGATCCTGCTTTATAATACAAAAGGTTCTAGATGAGCAAATAATATCCCATGCTA